AAGTTGGTTTTCTAAAGTTGGAAACGCATTTGTATGTAGAAAGTCTATTGTCAAACTTAACTTTTTAATTGAAGGACTTTCAGCGATCGCGCTCGCGGGATTCGTACCCTGGGCCTTCAGTCTCGCACGCGAACGCTTAACCTACTGGATCACTGAGCCGGCATCCAATGGTGTTAGTGTTTAACATCAACCAAATGATGACCTAACATCAATCGGTTCATGATCTCAATCAAAAACCTAATAATCTCCACCACCCCTATATTGTTCATTTACCAAGTTAACGAAAGTGTTTCATGTGTTCTCAACAGCAAGCAACTACATATATTGAATATGGTCACTTACAATATGACTGTCTACAGAGAATTAGTATTTTTAGTAATGATTTTCACTTGGTTTGATATAAAGTACGTTCCCTGAATCAGTCATTGAGCTATAATAAGTACAAAACAAAATTACTAAATTCTTTAGTACTCACGTTACATATTATAACTAATTGAGAATTTTACTGGCTGTTTGTAAACTTTATAAGGTTTAGTGATGACAAAGGTGATAAATGATAGTTTATCAATAAATCTACTTGATCTGATAACTGATTGAGATATATATCAATCTTGATTCTTTTTTTCGTTCTGGGAAAGTATTGTCCTAGGTGTTTCAATCTTATTTAGGGTCTATTACAATTATTCTGTAATATACGAAATTAAACAGGAAATTCATCAGGGTTTTTTTTGTTACCATATTTTTAAATAATCACTACAGGTTATAAGTTTCAAATCTAAAGATTCCGATTATATTAGTTGTTATTTAAAACTAATTTTCTACTGATTAAATACCTTTCGAGAAAACAATCTGTAGTTAGTAAACTTTTTCCCTTCCTTTTTTTCTTTTTTGTTGTTGAAAATTTCACACTTTCATCAGTTCAAATGAATGTATGTAAATGTTAGAGTTAGTAGAGTTTTATAAATTAATTGTTAAAAGCCAAGGGTAATTCTGAATGGTAATGTAGTAGCTGTGGATGGTGCTATAAATCCCGCTAAATGTATGAGCTGCTTCCAAATTATTTTGACAGTTCATTACTCAACATATAGGTAGTACTCTCTAAATTAATCTTTTTTTTAAAAAGATTAAAATATGATGTTTACAGGAAGTTACGTGTTATTTTTATTTCCTAACATTTCCTTTCCATTATACGTAGTTTAATGTGATGTTTTGCTATTTAAACATTTACCTAAACCGAAGCGTAACACCGGCAAAAAGGTTTTAAGGTTTAATATATGAGCTCTGATGAACTTTCTGTTAGGCACTGTGACGTATTGAACTAGAGACTCCGTAAGTAAAGTGAATCGAACTGTCATAACATATTAATGAATTCATTCGTGGCCTAGTATCATAAACAATCAATTTTAGATCCATTCAAATTAATATTTGCGTTTACATTTTTGATTGTTTTGTAGATAGTGAGTAACAGTAAAATGACAAACATTTTTGTATAATCTTGTGCTCGTCAGCTGTGTGTAACTCAATTCCACTAACGTTTCTTAATTTAAAAATAACGGTTAGATTCAGTTATTATTATTGTTATATAAAATAATCTCTTCTCAATAAGATATATATATCTTACCACTAAAATAATGGAGAGTAATCATGAATAATTATCTTGATATCAGAATGGGTTTTGTGGAGAGTTTTAGAAATTTCACAGGTTGAAATCGTGAGTCGATTGAAGCTAGACCATGATGGAAAACCTGGAAGCACTGGACGGCCGTTTCGTCCTAGTAGAAGCCGTCACCAGTGGAGTCCAACCAGGTCTGTTGTGAGATAGTAACTCACTGAAGACAATGGTGTACGGTGGCGCAACTTCGTGAATTGGTTGAAGTTAGACATTAACACCATTGGATGCCGGCCATCTCAGTGGTCCAGTAGTTAAGTGCTCGCGCGCGAAGCCAGTAGGTCCTGTGTTCGAGCCCCGCGTGATGCGGGATCGTGGATGCGCACTGCTGAGGAGTCCCATACTAGGACGAAACGGCCGTCCAGTGCTTCCAGATTTTCCATGGTGGTCTAGCTTCAACTGACTCATGATCTTAACCATTGAAATCTCATATAGATTGAAATTCGCACTCCGATGCATTATCTAAAATATAATGAACTTGCACGTATGATTAATCCCAAATTATTGGTTCTGTTCCCAATAGAGATTTAGAAAAAATGATCCGAATCAAAAAATATAAGCCAATACAGTTAATAACAAGTATGTTCATGGTTTTGGGCAAATTATTTATCGATGATTAACTCCTAATGCATTTGGCATATTAACGAACCTGTATGTCAACATACTACTTTGTTCAGAAGAAAACACAGTAAGACGTGTAATGTTTCATTACTTTAAATCTTAGACATTTTTAAACTGTATCACTGAATGTAGTGAATGTCACTGATATATTTTAATGTTATAGACGGTAAAGTAATATTAATCAGTATCTCTTCTATATAACGATGAGAGATGATAGCATGAACACTTAAGAAATCGATGACATAGCCTAGAATAATAAACGGAGAGGTTACTGATTTAGCGTTTTATTTATGTGTTATTTTGTCTCATGTGTCTAACGGAAAACTTATTAGAATTTTTCTCAATTCTATTTATTCCTTCTTTGTTCTCACTTCCTATTACAGTCATGAACGTGAAATTATTTATCTCTTTCTATTAAGTGAATTCAAACAAAATTTGGCCTAATATAAGATGAAATAGATCATATTCACTTACTTACGCCTCTGACCCCTCGTAAAGGAGCATAGGCCACCCAATAGAACACTCCATCTAACCCTGTCCTTGGAAATCCTTCCTAGTTGTCTCCAGTTGCTATTTATCGTTTTCATACCTGCTTCCATTTCCCAACGTGGTGTGTTCCTCGGCCTTTCTCTTTTCCGTTTCCCATCAGGATTCCAAGTAAGCGCTCGCCTCGTGATGTAGTTTGACGGTTTCCTCAAGGTATGTTCTATCCACTTAAAGCGTGTGTCCATAATTTCCTCTTCAGTTGTAAGCTGGTTTGTCCTCTCTGGTTTATCCTCTCTCCTTTGCTGATGGTATCCGGCCGACGAACATTGAATATCTTACGTAAACAACTGTTTATAAATACTTGTACCTTCTAGATGATGGTTTTAGTAGTTCTCCACGTTCTAGCTCCGTACAGTAGAACTCCCTTGATATTCGTATTGAAGATTCTCACTTTGATATTGGTTGAAATTTGTTTTGAGTTCCATATGTTCTTCAATTGTAGGAATGCGGCCCTTGCTTTGTCAATCCCTGCTTTTACGTTCGCATCCGATCCTCCTTGTTTATTGATGATGATTCCCAAACTTAATCAACTACTAATATAATATTGCGTAGTTTTTATTTATATAAAAATGAAGCATATACTGATCATAAATGAGTGCGAAATGGTTAATGATTTTTCTACATACTTATGTGGTTGAGGTGAATAGAAAACGTTTTTTAGCTAAACGAAAAAATAACACTATAATTACTGAAAATCCTTTTGAGAATTTTTTTAGTAGTCGAACGTCATACTACGGAAACAGGATATATTAGGTATAGGAATAATAGTGGTCGAAACTAAACGAATAAATTCTTTAAAGAAAAGTATGGGTTTTGAAAATCATTCAACTTTGCTGACTTATGCAACGCAAAGATCTCCGTGATATGATATAATAATCTTCCTAACATATAACTAGAACAAATAAAACTCTTTCTTTATGTTGTTTGGAAAAATTCAAACCACCATTCAGTTTTAGTAACGAAATCACGAACTGACATAAGCTAGATTATTCATTGAAAATTACAAACCATTGTATAGCTTGTTTTTGTTTTCATAATAAAGTACTCCTTAGTAATGATTATTCCTGACCTCACTGAGGATTGAATAAAGAAGTTTCATGTATCATTGTGAGAGCCTAACCTTTAAACTACTGAGATTTATTGATGATTTATATACCTAACTTTAGTCAACCTGGAAATAATGTAAAACAATTTTTCTACTGTATTCAGTGGATATCTGCTTCACAACCAACACCACTGGACTTTGCTCGGTAGAATCCTGAGAATGTGCTCTCGAAGTTAACCATTACTGAACACATGATAGTTGTTAGCATGGAAGATTGTAGATGATATTGAATTCTGTTGAGGTCACTAGTAGACCCAAGTTGAACTCATTGTCTAAAGTTAAAGCAGTAAACCATTGAATACTGGCTCATCATGCAATCAAATTAATTGAATGCATTAACATACTTTCCTATTTATTTCAATACCATGTTCACATCAATAGAAACAATAATATTTTAAAACCATATACTATAGATTATCATCTAAACGTGTAATTACGTTCCTGTTATGAAACAGCTTACCTAATTTAAAATGTTATACAGTGAATATCTGTTTCAACGAATGACATTTATCAAATTGAAATCATGAATCAATCAAAGCTAGACCACCATGGGAAACCTGGAAGCACTGGAAGGCCGTTTCATCCTAATATGGGACTCCTCAGTAGTGCGCATCCACGATCCTGCACCCCGCGAGATTCGAATCCAGGACCTATCGGTCTCGCGCCAGGTTTTCCATGGTGGTCTAGCTTCAACTGACTCATGATTCCAATCTGTGAAATTTCTAAAATCTTCACAAACCCCTTCTGATAATTACATTTATATTGATCATATAAGAAATTCATGGTGGAAAGAAATCAACCAAAATCATTATAAAAAGTTAACAAAAAAAAATAATAACTATATATATTGATTATACAGTAATAATAATTAGATATTAAAATAAATATAAAATAAATTGCGCCAAAGTCTCCGAACTACGTTTTGAAATGATTGGTTACAAATGTTATCCAATAAAAAATTACTTTGTATTTACCCATTCACTTATTGGTTAGTGAATAAATGTGAAATAAATAAGAAAAAAAATAATACTTAATAGGAAATAAATGGTTATACAATAATTACAATTCACATAATGTATCCTATCTATTTTGACAAATAATCTATAATATGAGACTAAATGGTTTCAATTGTATTACGACTTTTTGTTACAATGAACTACATATATATTTAATATTATACTGTGAAAAGTAATGTGACCTATGTACATTAAAATGTCCATGTTTAATTAAAATATATTTTATAATGGAATCTAACTATTCTCCAGATATAGGCAAATTGATTATAAAAGTTTATGCAAGTTTGCTATTATTATTTGGTCTACCTGGTAATATTATTAGCGCTATTATAATGGGAGGTGATCGGTCAAATCGTTTGACAACTCGTTTAATTATTATTATTCTAGCTATAGCCGATAATTTAGTCTTATTAACTGCTGTATTACGTTATTGGTTAATGGAAGTTTGTGGATGGGATTTACGTTCAACTGGTCCATTAACTTGTAAAATTCATGTTTTTGCTGTAGGATTTTCAACAGATTTTGCTGTTGGTGTATTATGTTCTGTTGCAGTCGAACGGTTACTTGTTGTTACCCTACCTTATAAAGCATCTAAATTAGTAACATTAAATTCTGTGATAATTGGTATGATATGTTTTGCTTTAAGTGTAGCTATAAAAAATTCACCACACTTTTGGATGATGGGTGAACATAAGTCACAACAATCTCAAATAGATTCAATAAATTTGTATAAAATCAATCAAACCAGAACGAGTGGGACCATTAATACACATAAAATGTTTATAGAAAACTCAACTAAAAAGGAATCATTTAAATGTACATTTGTATCAGAATATGAATTTATTTTTAGAATTTTTATGAAGTTCGATCTTATAAGTTTTGCAGTTCTTCCTTATTTAATATTATTTACAAGTAATGTAATTATTTATATAAAATTGCGTAATCAACGTCGGTTGATGAGATGTCATGCCAATACTACATCTATGGTTAGTAATACAACTAATACAAACATTATATCTAATAGTACACATTCAAGTAAACTACAACGTAAATTAGATCGAAAATCAATTAATCAACCAGAATCAACAAATCAACTACAACATGGAGATACACGATGTAAACGTTCAACTCGTCGACCAGAAGGTGTCATCAAATTATTAACAGCATTAACTATAATTCATGTTATTTGTACATTACCAGGCACAATTTTTACCTTTCTGTCATCTTATTTCAATTATTTTCACAATATGCCAAAACATACTCATGATCAAATTAAATATGGTTTAGTTATGTTAATATTTACAAATAATGCAATTAATTTCTTCGGTTATTGTATTTCTTGTACAACATTTCGTCAAACAATTATTCGTAGTTTAAATCATTTATGTCATTGGAAAACGAATTGTCATAAAAGAAAACAAAATAATGAAATACGGGATAATAATAATAATAATAATAATAATAATAATAATAATAATAATGGAAAATATAAACCAATGGACCAAAAAATCATAAGTAATGTCAGCTTAATAAAAAAACAAGACCAATATACATGATATGCCTCAGTTATTTTAGGTGAAAGATGTTATTGAATTGGTTTCAGACCTTGAAAATTATTGATCTCATTACATTGAATAAAGTTGACCAATATATGAACAAACTAGCAATTATAGTTGAACTATGTCATTATTATTCCCAGAGTGAGATGCATTTACTATTATAAGTGTAATATTGTAATACAATTAAACATTTACCTGAAACAAATATTTAATAAATAAATATATTTTCAAATGTAAGAAACCCGGTTGTATTTATTGAATAAATTAAAGTGATATAATATAATCATTTATGTTTTGAAGAATATGAGCAGTTCGTTTCATAACTAATTTGCAAGTAAATAACATTTTATTTAATTCATTTTTTTATTGGTTGTTTAAAGGTTCCCATTGATGTTTAGGACTGCAATTGATTAATCTCTTATTGGTATATGTACATACTGTACGGATTGCCTTGATATTGCCTTAAGTCTCAAACTTTAGAATCACAGATAGATGGTGGCTAGTAGTGAAATCTGGGACACACGTTTCGTCCTATTTTAGACTTGACAGCTGGATTTACCTACATCCCAGAGTTGATGTTCAATTACAGGCCTAAACATCAAAGACTTACTAAAATTAGTTATCTAATGCATTAAAAAATATGGATATAGAAGGTATATCAATAAATAAACGGATATGAAACAGAAATAATTCTAACATCAAGTGATTAATTTTGTGATAGTCGATATTCAATTCTGTCTCATCGTATGATCATTAAATATATGCAAATACATTTGTTTATTCTTGTAATATTCACTTGAGTAAATAGTACAACAAAATATATCCATGAATTTTTATGTAAGGAATTCATTTAATTCGATTTTCCATTAACACCTATAAATGTGGTTTTCCTTATTCAAAGTTTAGATATTCCAGTAGTTAATACATTTTCATCAGTGGTTAACTATATATATATACGATTTTATTTCAGTACATCAGTTTGATAATTTTTATGGGTTTGTATGAATCTGAATCCATTCTATTTAACACTTACCTTATAATGTAGTGGATTTGTTGATTGTTGTTTCACAAGTGACATTATTTAGTGACTGATTTCAGTTTCGGTACCACCACAGATCAATGAGCAAAAGACAGTTATTTCCTCGCACTATGACGTTAACACCACCTGCAGAATAAAAAAATCCCCACTTACCACTTCATCTGGACTGTAATAATGTTCCTACTAATGAATTACTTCAGAATGATTTCTCAACATTCTTGGAGGAAATGTGGTCGGCGGGGTTCAGACATGTCTAGAGTGAAATGGTTAAATGAACATATAGTTGCATTGCTGTTTCTTGTTGTTGGTGTTATGCACAATCTTACAGTAACCTGGTGGTTTCAGAGGTTAATGATTCTTTAAAAACACCGAAGGTTCTGAGTTTGATATATAAGTTAGTCATAGATGAAACGGCTGTTCAGTTCTTCCTAGTTTCAATGCTACTACAGCTAAGATCAATTATTAAGGAATACCACCTACAAATGTTTCACTATGAAATTAGACTTTACCAATCTTATGAGAGCGGCAGTAAACAAATAACTTTCATAAAGCAATTAAGCTGGTACATTGCTAATATATATATATATATATATATACATATATAATATATATATATATATATATATACATATATAACTGACCTTTTTCTCTAAAGCATTATATCAAACGGACAAATAAATTTCCATTTCCTATCAGATATAAGTTTCCAGACAATAATGTATATTTTGGTATTTTCAAGAGCCACAGAAATAATCTATGCTTTATTTGATTGCCGCCTTATTTAAGAAGTTATACTCAAAGTTTACTGCGGCAAGATGAAAAATGTTTAGTCGACTGCTACAGATTATGAAAAAAAAATTTTTAACTGCCTACAACAAAAATTTGTTAATAAAAGTGGATTTTGCTAAAATTTATTCAAATTAAGGAAGTGATATCAACTTGGAAAATGTAGAAAAAAGTCAAGGTAAACTGTCTACTGATTGTATGATCAAAGTTTATCTTAAACAAACTGAATATGTATAATTTCATTATGAGCATTTGTTTGCTAATAAAAATACCAAAGGTGGATTTTACTGATATTGCATTTGTTATATTCAGACGAGGATAAATGAATAGTAACCTCTAGCAATTATTGATGGACTTATAATATACGAATATTCTTATTGTATGACTATATCATATGAATATTCATATTCCTTTCATCTTAACCGTTTATTTGACCCATTGGTTACTGTTATGCTGTTATTCTCAATCTGTTAGTCACAGTTTCTCACAATCACAGTCATTTTTGGCTTGATCTTGTACGAATGTTATTTTCTATTTTATGATGTAATGTGGTCTGATTTGTTTGTATGTTAATCCGGAATGTTAGAAACATACGATTCGTATCGCGGAGGCTGAGATTGGCATCCTGGATTTAACAGACAGAGCTAGGCGGAAAAGGTACCAATCGGCATTCTAGACTTCTCATACTGGTGTGTGATTCATTAGTTTGATCGTGTGAGTCAACGTATCTAAATTGGTAAATCGTATTTGGCGATATTCGTATAAGCTCAGGAAATAACAATTAGTTCATAATAATTCATTAACTTGTAGATGTATAGATTATGAGGAGTAAAATCTAACTTAAATTAAAATCAAAAATGTCTAACGAAAATATAAATATTCAGCAAAATATTTAATTATTTTAAACCCATCCATTTTCGAACATTGTCCATTTTTTCAAATAAATGATTGATATAGGTATGTAAGAATAGCGATTTTTTCTCAATGCTTAATAAAAGTACAATATATAACATTTTCGAAACTTTTCCCGTTCATTGACTGTACCATTAACACATATACGCGTAAAATTTTCCTTAGCAACTTTACTTTCAACAGTTAAAAAGCTATCTACACATATCAACTATGGATATGCTACTATAACGCATCCTAATCTGCTTGATGAAACATAGCAAATAAAGCGAAAGTTAGAGACTGACATAAAATCTTCAGTGAAAATCATGCTTTTATATTCAGAATTCATCCACTAAATGAACGCCAAACAATGACATGCAAATGCGTTAAAAAATTTATGGGCAAATATCCATTTCACATAAGCGACATGTGAAATCTAACGTGAGCCAGTCAAAGTTTCATTCTATTTAACCATTTAAATAATTAAGTCATGTATTCTAATTTTAAGCGAACAAACTTGATATCGTTATCAAATAGCATAAACATGTTTTTTTGAAGTTTACAGTAGAGTTCAAGCACAGTTAAGAGTATTCCTAAAATTATCAAAATGAAAATAAAGACACGGAAATCTTTATTTCTATTAACCTCAATAAAACTAGGTGTGATAATTTATGATAAAAGACCATAGTATAAGAGTATCTATATATTTAAATAACGGGAAATATTTTTCTCAATACATCTTTATCGATTTCAAAAAAAACAATTTATGACAAATTCAGTAATATTAAGGTAAAGGGAAACTACTTCTATACGTGTTTATGAATAAAACTATCTTTGGCCAATGTCTTAAGAATGATCATCTATATGCTCTTACATACTCATTGGATTTAATTACTAAAAGTTTAGCTGGACAAGTATTAAAGTTGAAATAGGTCACCTTATTTTCTACATTGTCATTTCGACTGCAATAGATGGAGAGCATACTTGATTTAATTAGTATTGTTCTCATGGATTTAGGGCATTGACTTACAACTCCATCAATTTTTAGGATTTCAAATTAGATCGGTGCGTAAATTGTGCAGTCATCTAGTAAACACTTGAAGTGGTAGTTAATATGATTATTCCTATTATTTATACTGATTTATATCTTCCCAGAGAATTGGGAATAGGTCATCGATAGTGGGCTCTTCCATGTGTGTATACCGATCCAACTGCTCCAGTAAACTAGTTGCATAGGCCGTATTCAGAGGGCTTTATCTTTGCATGTTCGTGAACGTGTACCAGCATGGTTGAGAAAAGGAGTTACTAAATAGATAAACAGTACTATTCTTTCTCACTTGGTAGACAGTGAACTTCATATTAAAGTAGAGGAAGTTTCCTCTGTTTTATTTCAGGTTTCAAATGATATGCTTCAAGAACCTAGATTACGGCTACTTTACAGTGATAAAGCCCTCTAGATAAACTCCATAAAACCGAACTTATGTATACAGAAAAGGCATGTCCAGCCTTTATATTTACCGTAGCCTATGACTGGATCACCAGTTACCTAAATTAGATATTAAAAACCTGTTATCCCTCGTCCCAATTTGTGTATGTTTATATCTCTTTTATTCTCCACCTTCATCTCTCCTAATTCATATGAATTCTTTTTTATCGTAATCACCATGATAACACCTCTCTTATTACTCATTATATTCACACAACAATATTATTATTATTACGATTGCTACTATCATTATTATCTCAATTACCAAGATGAAATTCTCATACTAGGCATTTTATTCACACGATTTTTTTCATCTTCACTTTTGCTATATTACTATTATACTGATTAGAACTTGACACTACTCCAAATCATTCCGACCTTAATTAAAGAACCTCACCAATTTACAAATAACACAATATTGAAGTATTTACGTCGTAACAGATACAAACATTCATCATTTTTAACATATAACATTATCAAATTCATCAGTATATGCCTTATTTTGTCCTTTATAAAATATCATAATAATTACAGACTTATAACAATAGAGACTGATGATGAAGTTATTGAAAATAATTGTTCACTCAAATATCCACTGTTTCTTTGAATACTCCATGAGGATTTTTACCCTACAAAAAGTTTAATTTATAACCAATTCTAATTACTTTGTTAAATAAACATTATCATAACATATTAATAATGTAGTTTATTTATTGCAATTTAATTGTAGTTCTAATAGTTAGTTTATTATTATCAAAGTAAAACAAAGATTATTCGATCATATTTTGAAGTTAATCAACAGAAGACCTCTAACAAATGAATAAAGGCGTAAGAATTCATGGTCACATTATTCACTTCACATCTTGAATTGTTTATACACAATATATCTGTCTGAAATGTTTGTTAGTAACTTTGTTTATTAACCTAACAACATGTAAACGTAATCTGATTTCCTAATTAATTGGCATATTTTTAACTTATATTAGAAGGGTTTTTGTAGATATGATAGTAATTTCAATGGTTGAGTTCATGAGTCAATCAAAGTTAAACCACCATAGAAAACCTAGAAGCACTGGACGGC